TCCCCACAGCAGTACCAGATCATGTCCCAAAGGGGTGGGGGAAGCCAGGGTGCACAAGGAAGGCATCGTCTTCATGGTGACCAATACCCACCCTGACAGCCCCAAATGCTCATAAATGTCAACCCCTGTGCACATTTTGTCCTCTACGCATGGTGTCTGTGGGTTTCTCGGCTCTTCTCAGCTCTCCCTGGGCCTCTCACACAGGCTGTGTTGCACCACATCCCAGTCAGATTTATTTTCAAGGGCTTAGCTCAGAGGGATGGTGGGAATGTTTCAGCCTGAGTGCTCCTGGTCACAAAGACAAAGAGCCCTAGTGCATTTCAGAGGCGTCCGAGAGGGTTCTGCAGAGCCCATTCTTTCAGGAACGAAATTGCATTTTATGAAGCCATCCCTTTTCTGTTTCATCTGTCAAGCAGGTTTGTTGAGAATAATTTAAATTTCATGCAGCAGCAACTGCAGGGCATCGATGCCTTCCTTGCACCCCATATACAAACCCAGTGGTGGAGTTGCACCTCTGTCTTGCAGGGCATTCTCCCCCGGGGTCTAGACAGCTGGTGGGGACTTGGGATGGAGTGGTGCCCCCATTTCCTCAGCATCAGCTCTGGCACATCAGGGAGGGACAGGACAGCGCAGGGAGCCTCTCTTCAGTTCACCAGCACCAGCCAGGGGGCTTGTTTCACCCCAGTGGGCAGGTCCTTGGATAAACTCAATCTCTAGTTTTTCTTTTTCTCTCTCTCTCTTTCTTTTCTTTCTTTCTTTCTTTCTTTCTTTCTTTCTTTCTTTCTTTCTTTCTTTCTTTCCATTCTCTCCTTCCCCACTGAGCTACATCCCCAACATTTTAATTTTGACACAGGGTCTTGCTAAGCTGCTGAATTGCCCAGGCTGGGCTCAAACTTTCCGTTTTTCTTGCCTCAGCCTCCCAGAATGCAGGGATTATAGGCATGCAACATCTCACTTGGCTTTTTTTGGTACTGGGAATCGAACTCAGGGCCTCACAGTTGCCAGGCAGGTGCTGTGCTACTAAATTATATCCCAGGCCCCGGCTAGTTTAATTCTTAAAAAAAATTAGCTTTGAGTGCTTACCAAGTGGCAGATATAGTTTTATACTTTTCTGCACATATTAATTTAGATAACCCTTACAAGGAAGATATTACTGTTATTCCCATATTAGAGACCATGAAACTGAGGTTCAGCTCATAAGTGGTAGAGCTAGGAGTCAGTCTCAGTTCTATCTGACTCAAGAGCTTAAAAACTCTCACCAGCTATGCAGATGACCAAATCTTTGGCTTAAATTTTCTTCCTGTACCATGAAAGATAAATGTGCCCATTTTCTGGCCTGAAATTTGCAGTTTACTGTCATCCAAGTGGATGAGAGTTACCATAATTATGTTGCAATCATGGTTACCATGGTGAATGCATGCTGCCAGGCAGCCTGGGGTAGAGAGAGCTGGCCTGGCAGCCTCTGGTTCTCTCCAGGTGGCCTTGGTAAGCAGGGAAGCTACATTTTCTTGGGGCCTCGCTGTTCTTACCTGCAGAATTAGGGTTTAGATGTATGTGTCCCGCCCCTCTTCCTGGGCTCTGGAAATTCCTGTCCTGGCAAGCGAGGTGGGCATGCTGAGGGGCTGGAAGGGTTAGTCGCTATGCCCCCAGGTGACTCAGCAGCCCAGAAGCCTGTGATTGTCCAACTGGCCTTTCATCAAAAGATTCCCAGAAATCTTTAGGCCACAGTCAAATAAATGAAGAAATGAAAATTAACTCAGGCCGGAGGGTGGCAGTGACAGAAAGAATTGTCATCACCTTGCTAACCAGCCTCTGGGAGCACAGCCGGAGAGAGAGCTGTGACCCTCAGCCCTGGACCATCGGAGCAGACCCTCGCCCTGGGAATGAGCCAGTGACCCATGGGCAGGAGGAGGCTGCGATGTCCTAGAGCCTGTGACATTCCTCCTGTTCCCTGCTTTGGTCAAGTGGGGAATACCAGGGCCCGACAGCACTGACCCTCGTACTTGGGCAGCTTCCTTGGGGACTTGCCCTGAGTTCCTAAGAGTGGTCTTGGCCCATGAGTAGGGCCTTCACCACGAATGCCAGGCTGGTCCCTTCCTACGGCCTCAACATGCCCCAGGGCAGAAGGAACACACCATTCCGCACCAGCTTTTACACAACAACTTTCCTTGCCCACTTCCCTCTAGTGTAGCATCTCATTCTGTGTCCCTGCTGGTCTTTCCTCTGAGACAAGGGCCTCACAGCCAAAAAGTATTTCTAATCCCTTCCCTGGATGGCCTGGCTGCCCTGTGTGCTGATCCAGCTCCACTTGGGGCCTGTGCACGGCCCTCTCCCCACCCTTCTTCCTGCTGGCTGCCTCTTGCTTCCAGGTCATCTTGAGTCCCAGCATCTCAAACGCCACTTCTTTCCCTGCATGCACAGGGCCAGCTCCTATTTCTGAATCTGACCTTTCATCTTGGTGAGGTTAGAATCAAACAGCTGTCCTCACTGGAGGGGTGGCCTCATCCCATGGGCCACACCTGGTGGCGGCGGTACCTACAGGCACTTCAGTACCTACAGGACTCGCACCTGCCAGGTCTTGTTCTGTCCTGGGCACTTTACACGTTCCTACTCACACAATCCTACAACACGTTCAGTGGACAGGGACTGCCATTCCTATTCTACAGAAGCAGGGTCCAGAGAGGTTGGGTAACTCGTCCAGGTCACTCAGCAAGCAAACAGTTGATTGAAATTAAAAGCTAGACAGTCTATCTCCAAGTCTGGTTTTACCCTCCTCACGAAGCCACCTCTGCCAGGAACAGAAAAATGTTCTGGGTCACCTGATCCCACTGAGCCCCTGAGGGTAAGAGTCAGCCCTTGGTCATTTCACAAACAGCTAGGTTGACCAGGGAAACTGTGGACACCTGGGCTTGGGCCGCCTGCTCCGTGGTATGGTGCTGGCATGGGTCAGACACACAAGGTAGGAGCTGGGCTTCTGGAGGTGCCATGGCCCACACTGAATAGCAGCGGCCCAGATGAAGCTGCCGCTGACGGCAGCTACTTCCTCCCCTTCCCTGTGCTCCCAGTTCTCCTGAGCACTCCAAGAACCCAGGGCCTCATCAGGCACAAACTGGTCCCTGCAGGTATGAAGCAGGAGAAAGGATTTGCCTCCTCCACTGTCCTGTGCCTGGGTGCTGGCTGTGCTCACAGGCCTGAACTTCTGCCCTCTCTGCCTCTCCTGGCCACTGGACTCCGGGCTTGTCCCAGCTGCTGTTTTCTGTCTGAGGCTGGTTGGTTCCTTCCCTCCCATGCGGCTGTGGTCTGGGGCCCAGCCAGTCAAGGATAGTGAATATTGAGCCGCTTTGGAGCGAAATGGCCAGGGTGTCCTGCAAAGAGCTGTCAGCACTGACTCTGGCAGAGCCCAAAGCCTGGCCCTCAGAGTACTGATGCCGTCTCTGAAAAGGCAGCTATGCTAGGGACAGAACCATCAAATGGGCCTATGGGGTCCAGCCTGTCTCCCACCTGGCACCCTGGATGTTGGCTCCAGAGGCTGCCATCTCCAGATGGCCAACAGCTGGCTGTGCAGAGTGCCTGCCAGATGTGGCCACGGGGCCAGTGGCCAGTCCCTTGGGTGGAGGTCACCCATTCAGGACAGGCTGGGGCTGGTGCCCAGGGAAGGAATATTTTTGACCGGCTAGGGGCGGGGGGCAGACAGTGTGCCCAAATCATCCTTCATCTCCTCTCCCGTCTGACATTCCTTTCCTTCCTGCATCAGTGGGGAGGGTGTTTTCATAACAGGAAAATAAAATCAATAAGGCACTGCACCAAGATGTCAGCATGCTGCGCCGGCCTCCAATAGCTCCATTGTCTCGGGCCTCCGCCGGGCTCTGCAGCCAGCAGCACTCTCCCTTATTAATGGGAAGCAGGGCTGAAGGGGGGTTTGGAAAGTCGCAGAGACAAAGGCACAGCACACCTGGAGCACTGGCTGTCCCGCCGTCACAGCCACTCACAATGGCCGGCCTGGGGCTTCCTGCCTTCAATTTTTCCTGCAACTTGTATGAAAGCCTGGGAGGAAAAAACCACACACACACACACACACACACACACACACACACACACACACACACAGAGGCACATGCACACACATGTGCGCAAGCCCTGGAGGGCTCCTGGGAAGCAGCTCTGAATGGCTGGCAGAAGCAGGGAGGCCTGTGGAGCCTTGCCCAGCCGAGGGGGTGGGATGGATGAATGGGCTTCCTGCCTGGGCCCCGCCATCCCTCCTAAGGGCTCTGAGCAGCAAGGAACAAGAGGCCCAGCTCAGCCTGAAGCCTGGCAAGAGGCTTGGTGACATTCATGTCCACATTCTGTTCAGCACACGGACTGCTTTCTGCTGCCATTCCTGAGGCTGGAGCTGGCTCTTCCAGCAAAAACAGACCAACCTGGAGCAAAAAGGCCCTGAGGCCAATTGCCAGGTGGCCAGACCCTGGGAGCAGCTCAGGTAACAGTGCATCTGGGGTCCTCAACAGTAGGGTGGTGTTGTAAGAGGCTGCCCTCCAAGGCTTGGGAGGCTCAGGGAAGACCTTGAGCATGCGAATACACAGTCTGGTGGTGGGAATGCGCAGGGTGGGCTTGTGACCCCGAGTGGCTCTTACTGTGGGTCAGTGTCTGCTCATGAACCCCAGCCGCTGGGAGGGGCTGGGAGGGCCCTGGTTCTCCTATTAGGGAACCTTTTTGCCAACCTGGAGTTTTGTTGTTATTTTACTTATTTAACTAGTCTTTAATCAGCATGGCACAGGATAACAAGCAGCCTCAGCACCTGCTTCTCTCCCTGTAAGTTAGTCACAGAGAAACTTCACAGGAAATAAGCCCAGAGCAATCCTCAGAAATGATTTGTAGGTTCCCGCCAGGGAGGCCACAGCTCTGGGGAACTCAGACTCAGGAGGCCTGTGGTGCCGGCCTGGGCGCATGGGAGGCAGGGTCCCCTCTGTCCGCTTTTTCCCAGAGAGGATGCCAGGTCTTACCTTGGTGGTAACCGCAGATGCAGAGCTGGCCACAAGGCTGGTGATGGCCTCGCTGCTACCTGTGGTGCAGGGAGCGGGGGCCGTGGCCGGTGTGGGCAGCCGGGAGGGTACCACAGGCAGTGGCAGGAGGCCGGGCCGGGCACTGAGGCTGCTGGCTGTGCTGCCACCGGCTCCTGAGGTGACGCTGCAGATGCTGGTGGTCCCATGGGTCCCGTTGACGCTCCACTCACGGCGGTCCCAGCCTACCCGGTAATCTCTTTCGAACCGGCTGTGGTGCCGGGACATCTCCGTGGGCCGTGGCAGCTTCTCGCAGGGAAACAGAGCCCGGACCTGCCGGCACAGAGCAGAGAGGAGGGCGGTTTAGACAAATGGCCGCCCTGCTCGGACGCGGGCGGCAGCCACAACCGGCAGCATCCATTCAGCCCCTGCTCTGGGTTCACTAATGGCTTCCAATCATTAGCTCATTCAGATTCACAACGAGCCCATAAAGCTAGGATCATTCAAAGTCCCACTTCACAGACGAGGAAGAAATGGTCTCTCCAGGATCAGGTGGCAAAGTGTAGCAGGAGAGATTCGAATCCAGTCGCAGTTTAAAATCACTCTTTCAGTTCAGCAGTGTCATGCTGCCTGAGTGACGTGGACATGCACATTTTAATTATGGTAGTAGTTTCTTCCCCATTCATTCCCCACCGTGAACACAGATTCTGTGGGCCCCTCGGGCCACACCTTCCTCAAGCACACAACATGACTGACATCTGTAAACCACTGTAAGAGGACAAAGCAATCTTGACAGCAACCTCATTTGCTCCTTACAGAACCTGGGAGGTGTCAGGGCATGACTGTCCCCAATTATGGACGAGGGAACTCACCTAGAATAAATGGTTCCTGGCATCAGGGAGCTAAAAGTAAGAAGGAGGCCAGGGTACTCAGCTTGATGCTTCTGTGAGGTGTTGGCCTCTAGGAGCTGAGTTCTCCCTCATAGCCACAGCCTGGGACTCAGTCCTGCCCCTGGAGCCCGTGCATGCTAGCCTCAGCTCACCAGACATCTCCCACTCGGCATCCTGAGTACTCAACAGAACGCCCTTCAGTGTTGTCATGGAGACCCAGACACATCATGGTACTGGAGGGGCCTTCTGAGTCCCCAAGGATTACATATTGCACAGCATGACCGTGACTTGGCTGCTCCTGCCCAGGCAGGGACCAAGGCCAGCCCCGTAAGGAAAGGAGGAAAGACCCAGGAGAGGTGGTTTCAGCTGCAGAGGGCATGGAGACAAAGGGCAGAGGTCATGGCAGTGCTGGGGCACAGGTGGGCAGCTTCAGGTGAAGGTCTGTCCTGCACCTTGCACCCCCAGCCCTGATTGTGGCTCAGTCACAGTTTGGTTTTCTTTGGCCCTGTTTCCATTTCTACTCATTGCTGGGATGTGAGCTCCTGGAGACAGGGCTCCTGATTCCTTTTCTGTTCCACCTGCTGACCTCTGGAATTGCTGGCCGGTGGGATGGACAGCATACTTTCTTTTTAAAGTTTCCATAAAGCTGCTTCTCCTCTGTATTGTGCTCATGTACTACCTGTGCAGCTAGCCTGGCTCTGGGAGCCACAGACCCCTCTGCTAGGCATATAGGAGAGACCTGAGCCCCTCTACCACCTGGGGTGAGCCAGGAGCAGAGGTGACCATCACCTCTGAAGCTGGATATAGATCCCTGTGTAGTTCATCGTTATACTTCCTGACTCACACAATGTCACACAATTTTTTAAAATAGCAATATTATGTGGTTAAAAGATAAAAATCAACTCCCCCCTTTGACTATCTCTCATTTGCTTTTTCAACAGAGGCTCTCATCTAATCTCAGCCCCACTCTTTCTCCTGTTCACTCTGGAATATGCTCCCATGTTGCTTCAGCTCTGGCCACTCCAGAGAAATTGTTCAAACCAAGGTCATGAATGTCACACTTATAAAACCCAACAGACATTGGTGCCCTTGTCCCCTGGGCCTCCCTCCTGTGGCATGGCTCGTCTCTTTCTCTTTCTGTAGTCCTCTACAGATTCTGTGACCCTCTGCTTGTCCCCAGCCTTTAAAAGCTGGGGCTCTTTGGGTCCCTCATCTCCCTCTCTCCCCTCACTCTTCACCCTCCCTGCATAAGCTCATTCAGCAGACCCTCTTACCGTGATGCTCAGGGTCCCACTCTCTTTCCTAAGCACCTGCAGCTTCACCTGGCTGCTGCTCAGCTACTCAAACTCTGCATGTCCCCCAATGAACTCATTGTTCTTTTGCCCAAACACCCACCTGTAGGAATTTTCTGTCTCAGAGGGAGACAGTTGCTCTGTTTCTCAGTCTCCAGCCCCATATCCACAGTGGGTCATCGATTCCATTGTCCCAGCGGCTCTCAGATCTGCCCTGCGTCTGTATCGACACTCTATTACTCTCACACTGGCTACTTCCACCCATCTTCCCACCCCCCAGCCTTGCCCTTCTTACCCATTCTCCAACTTACTTGCTGTCTGAGTTTTTAAAAGCACTTGCCCATGCTCAAGCCCCATCCCTTAGAATAAGCTCTTAACTCTTCCTGCTGGCCTAGTAGATCCTGGAGGACCTGGGCTGGCTCATTTCCCAGCATCCCCTCTCACTTGTCCCACCCTACTTATTCCAGATGCCTATGGATTCTGAAGGTTTTGAGTCCCCTCTCAGCTTGGGCCAAGCCTATACTATGCTATTCGTTTGCCAGGAATGGCTTTGGCCCTCCCTCTAAGACCAGTCTTGTGTGATAGCTCAGCATGGAGTCTTCCAGGAGGTGGCCCTGACTTGGCCCCTCTGGGTCCAGGGAGAGCCCCTCCTTCCCCACATTGAGCATCTAGCACCTGCCCCCACCCCAGCGTCCATGGCTGCTGCACATCTCCCACTGTCTCCAAGTTCTGGAACTTACTGTCCTGGCAACCCCAGCACCCATGTGTGCCAGCATGGAAGGGTGTCCAAGTACACGTGTGAACAAACACATGGTTAGTGTTTCTTACTTGCTGAACATTTCTAGAAAGGACAAACACATTTGTATGAAAAGGAGGACCTCATTCCCAGAAAGCTTGACGTTTCTGATCAGCAGTTCCTCGTAGGCACTGGGACAAGTTGTCCTACCTTCCTGGAAAGCCAGACCTAAGCCTCCTAGGATGACTCTGGAAGGAGGAGCTCTGCATGTGGAGGGGTGAACCTCACAGCTCGGGCTCTTGTCTCCTGGGGTTCACCTCCCAAAACAGGAAGGCCTCTCAGTAGCCACTGCTGTTAGGTTGGGATCACGTGTCTGGGTCTGGCAGACAGGGGCGGGAAGGTGATGAAGATAGCTTTTAGACCCGTCCCAGTAGAACATTTTCTATGACCCCGTCCTTTCCTTCCCTTGCCATGCCCACCTTCCGGATGGCACGGCTGCCCCCTCCTACCCTCTGCATGCTTGGAACATAGATATTGTTAAGACACTGAGTTTGGCAGTCTATTTGTTACCTTGGCACAGCCCCGGCTGGACTGACTAACTGATACACTCATTCAGTCCTCACATTCCTATAAAGCAGCATGGATTACCTATTGTCAAGAACATCATTTCCTGCCAGCTAGCGAGGACGGGAGACACTCAGGGTGGGCCAGGAACCCCACACACTGAGACACGCTTAGGTGCTCTCAAGTGTGCTCCAGATCAGGTCAAAGGGGTCACGCCGGCCCCAGCACATCTTCAGACGCCACCCAAGCCTCCCTGTTGGCTGACTCAGGCACCACCTCCTGGAGTTCCCCAGTCTCCACCTCGAGCACAGTTTCAGCGCATTTCAGAAAAGTCAGCCCTGCAACCTGCAACCTGTGCCTCCCACCATCCTCAGCCCGCTGTCATCTCTTCCTGCCTCCTCCAAATGCCAGAGAGGAGGTAGAGACTCGGGCAGCTGGAGGCCACACAATCTGGTTTCAGTCTCATTAAGTGTATTCAAAACAAAGGTCAACTATTTGCATGCCAGCGCTTGGGTCAGACATCATTCCTCAGTTTAATTTCCCCTTTCAAACAAATGAAAGAAATGTGTTGCACAGTTTACTCTGAGTGAGACGGCAGAGTGCCAGCTCCAGAGATGGCAGCTTAAGTATTTCCTGCTGGGCGCAGAGCCAGCGTGTCACAGAGGTCCCCTTTTGTGCACGCACGTGTGCCCCTGGCTGTGTGGCAGGAGGCACAAGCAGCACACGTGTGGTGGGAGGAGGAGGCCCTGCATGGACAAGGCGCTTCCAACCAGACTGGTCGTGCAATTGCAGACAAAACACAGAAACACGCTTCCCTGTCGAGGTGAGCACCTTTCCATGGCAGCCTGCCTGGGAGCTGGTAGAGCCTGGCACGGGGCCCTGCACCAAGAAGGGAGGCAGTGGGAGCAGCAGCCGTCCCTGGTGTGGAGGGGCCAGTTACAGAGTATGGGGTTGCACCTGGGTGGCTGGTGCCTTGCCAGCGCCTGTTCACATGACACACATGTGCATGAAGAAGGAACTCTGGAGTCTGGAAAATCTTTCATTGGTGGATGGAGGCAGCTCACCCTAAGGTCCAGGGTTGGGATGGTTTGTGCTGCTCCCTCACTCCTGAGAGACGAGGGATAGGCTAACCTGAAAGCCCATTCAGAGACAGGCGTTTTATATGCAAAATTCAGCTCTAAATTCTAGGATCCTGTTTGTACAGAAGCTATTTATCCATGGAAATACAGCTGGGGAAGCTGGGCTAGGAGAAGGGAGGGAAGGAGGCTGGATTCTTCCTGGAGAGAGTGGGAACACTTTTTCTGCTTGCCCGAAGCCTCACATTTGTGAAGGCTTTCAGCCCACACCAGGCGTGGACCTCATGGTCTTGCACACTCATTTTCACGGCAGCCCGCATGCATACATCCAGGTTGCGGCTTCTCAGCATGAGGTCTGGATTTACAGAGGTTGGTGCCCTGGTCCTGCACACAGCTGGGGAAGCCAGATCAGGCTCTTGATTCTCCACTTCCTTGGTGGTGGAGGCAGCCCTCTTGCAGACAGTGGGGAGGGTAAAGAGCCACCTTACAGAATGGGGCAACTGTGAGGAATGAGGGTCAACACTCCACTCTTCACCTTTGCCCTCCCAAAGGGCCAAAGTGCTTCTTTGAATGTTTAGGCATTGATCTTGTTGCACCCCAGGCCCTAGTTCAGAGTAGCCTGTAGATGCCTCAACACAGATATACCCCTAAACCAAATGACAAGGTCTCCAGCACCCCCAAATGTTGCAATGCCATATCGACCAGCTCTGGGATAAATTGTGATGTGAAGCTAATGAAGATCTAGATAACCCATCAGAAGTGTTACAGGGGCCAC